AGTATGGAATATAAAAGAAAGGTTTAAGATATGATCGATTAATATGGTTTGACACGCGATCAAGTGTTCAATGCAGATGAAACTGGTTTAAACTACAAAGCATTGCCAACGAAAACACTCGCTGCACTGTCTGAACCATATAAACCAAGATTTAAACCACAAAAGCAACGAATCACAGCAATGATATGTTCAAATTCAACTGGTGACCATCACCTTCCTATATTATTGATTGGTACAGCAGAAAAGCACGTTGTTTCAAGGGCATAAATATGAACGCGCTCTCCGTTAACTACTACGCACAACATAATGCATGGATGTCCCAGGAAATATTCGCTAACTGGTTCAAAAAGGTATGTACTGCAAACCAAAATTTGTTTATCTGTTACTCTAAAGTCTTGTTTTTTATGTTTTTATACCGGACGTTCGACAATACTCGCAAGGAAAAAAATTTGCCATCAAAGGCGAGTCTCATTTTGGACATTGCACGCGCTCATCCTAAAACCGGTATGCTGCGAAGTGACGATGAAAATATCACGTGCTCTTTTCTGCCTGCGAATGGATCAATCGGTCATTAATACATTCAAAAGAAGATTCAGAAAAAAATTTATTCAAAACCTATTTATGGAAGAGAAATATTTTTTGCCAGAATATAATCTGCTTGGGCTGATGATGAAATCATGAAAGATGAAAGTACCCCGTGGCAGACGAGCGTGATACGGTAATAAATGAAGTTATGGCTGAATCGGCTATTTTGTTTTCGTTGCCTAAAGATGACATAAACGCATGGTTAATTTGTGATGAGGACGTAAACGACTATCGATTGCTGAGAGATGATTGTTAAAATGTCAACATAGGCGGACGAAACTGATTCAGAAGCTGACAGAGGCTGATGGTGGCGATGATGATGCTACTGCAACTCACAAAGATTTGCGTAAAAAGCTGGAGAAGCTGCATTGCACATGCAACAATTCATTAAGTGGTATTCTGGGCAAGAAGAAGTAAATAAGGTAGATTTGATGATTTTACGTCGATTAAGAAATTCAACCGTTGCAAAATGTGTAACAATAAAACAAAGATTTCGGAATATTTTAAATCAAATTGATTCGACTGTACTAACATAAATCCCTCTTATATTGTCAAATAAAACATACAAATTAAATTTGAAAGTTCTATATATAAGTACTATAAATTTTTTTTATATTCTGTTAGCCGTCTTTTCGATTATCCGTCATACCCTTGGTCCGGTGCCCTGACGGATAATCGAGGTTCCACTGTACTTCCAATTTGTTCCAGCTATTCTTTTGATGTCGTCCACCCATCTGTGGTTTTCTCTTGGAAATTTGCAAAAAAATGGCCAAAAAACAAAATAGATAATTTAAAAATAATTTTTATTTAAGTATAAAGTTTCGAAAAGAACTTAATGCCTGCAAATGAATTAAATAATAAAAAAGAAGACTTTATTTTTTTAGGTTTTCAATTTCTGGAACTTTATAGGCACCGCGTTTATTTATGAGTAAAGGTCTCGAAATCTTACAAACTACATCATCAAAGTCGTAATTTAAAATGTCATCTCTATCTGGCCATTTTCAGTACTTTCTACTCATAGTCATACTTTTAACTCTCAAAGTATCATTGCTTCGTTCCAGAACTACACCAGGGAAATATTCATTGTCGTCCTGCACCAACACAAAATCGTCCTTTGAGTATATTTCTATATTCTTTTTATTTATGTTTTCCGTATTATTATTACCAGTATCTATGCTTGGTGTATGTTTTGGAGGACAATTTTTCTTTTTTGCTTGATGGATCTCTGTTTTTCTTTTCTCTTTCGGATTCGTTCACATTTCTCATTTTCTTTTTCCTCCATTTCTTTGTTGAGTCTTCGTTGATGTTCCATAAATTCATCACTTATAGCTACTGTAGAATAAATCTTTGTTTTTTGCCTTTCGTTGGTGTTTTCTGTGCTATTATTATTTTTCCTTGTGGAGCTTTCCGGCCAAAATAGTGCTTTTTTGAGAGGTGTTGGATATTTACTAATATTCTCTGATATTGTTGCAATTTGCTTAAATGGGGTTTTTTCTTGATTTTGTACTTGTCTTTTTTGATCAGAATGAACTATAACTATTGAATTGTCTTTTAATGGGCTATTGCAAGAAGTTCTGTTTAATATTTTGTTCTTAAGTGGTGTTTTTTCTTGGGGTAAACTTACTACTAAATAATAGTCTATGTTCTCAGAATCATTGTCCTTGGTTGATGATAGACCAGGTTTTGGCGAACTAGAATTGCGATTCTGTATAGGAATTAAGATCAATGCTCCTTTGACTGTAGCTTCAATTGTATTATTATTGCGAAACCAAAAGTTTTCGTCGAGGTGTATGTCAACAATGGTCTCGTTAGCAACATTAATCGGCAAATTTTTTTTCAAAGTTGTATCATGATCGACATTTTGTGAATGAAGACTCTTCCAGAAATCATAAAATGCTACATATTTTTCTTTTAGTTGGGCCGGTAATTCAGCAGTCCTAAAACGGTTAACAACTTCTGGGTTTAAGCGTATCTCTACCTCTCGAAGTAGTTCAGAATCATAAACATTAACAGTTGTAGTGGATGTGGATTCAGTTATTTTATCATCAGAATCTTTTTGTATTATCTAATAATTTTCGTTGAACGGAAAGAGTCCACATTATTCAAATTCACTTTTTATTATCGATGTACAGACTGTAGCCTTCAAAGTTTTGTCTAAGAGTTTTGCAAACTCAGCAAGGTTTTCTTCCGTTATTCTCCATACGCCAAAATTGAACTTTTTCGCCAGTTATTTTTAATGGGATAAAAATGCCAACATCTAACGGCTGTAATCGATGAGTTGCGTTGGGGTAAAATACTGTTAAAATGATATCTTTTCTTTGCAGAATTCAGCAATAAGCAGATTGATGCGGGAAGAGTGTCTATCCAGAAACAATATTACTGGGAGTGGAATACTGTTCTTTGCCAACCAGGGAAAAAATACATTTGTAACGTATTCATAAAATGTCTTACTTGTCATCCAACCAGATTTAGAGTGCACAACTCCCCACTGTTTTGGCATCTTCGTTATTATTGAAGCTGACACATACCATTTGTAGGGATACAAAACTCATGACGGAGGTACAAAACCATCAGTTCCAACAGTTAGCAAAACTTTAAGACATTCTTTTTCGTCATTAGTTATGCGATTGTCTACCTTTTTTGCACCTTTTCTAACCAAAACTTGTTTTTCTTGAGGGGATAAATAGAAACCACTTTCATCACAATTGAATATTCTTTTGGGGTTTTTAAGGATGTGTAAATAATTCATTTATTAGAAGCAAGTGAAGAATTTGGTCTGTCACTGAATACAAAGAAGACCAAATTCATGATAATTACAAAGAAACGTATCAATAATATCAACTTACATGTAGGACAGAATCTCATTGAACGAGTACAAAATTACAATTACCTCGGAACAAATATTAACGAGTCAAACGAATACACCAGAGAAATAAGAATAAGAATAGAGAAAGCCCGCAGTGCCTTCAACAATATGAAACAAATGTTGTGTAGCCGTAACCTAAGCCTAAAGCTGAAAATACGAATGCTTAAATGTTATGTTTTCTCGGTCCTGTTGTATGGGGTGGAGGCGTGGACACTAAATAAGTAATGTATGGGTAAGCTGGAGGCATTTGAGATGTGGGCGTACCGAAGAATATTAAAAATCTCCTGGAAGGATAAGATAACTAACCAAGTTGTATTAGACAGGATGAACAAACAAAAGGAGGTCGTATTGAGTGTTAAAATGAGGAAACTACAATATCTGGGACATATTACATACTGATATTTATTACATATTACATATTACATGTTGATATTTATTACCTGGTAATAAATATCAACTGTTACAACTAATTATGCAAGGAAAGATTGAAGGTAGGCGCAGCATAGGTAGGAGAAGAATGTCGTGGTTGAGAAACCTCAGAGAGTGGTTTGCTTGCACTTCCATACAATTGTTCCGAGCGGCAGCCTCCAGGGTCAAAATTGCCATGATGATAGCCAACCTTCGTAGCGGAGATGGCACGTGAAGAAGAAGAAGAAGAAAATAATTAATTTTTATCACATAATTCTGAACTTGGGTAAACCAATTTTTATATTTTGTTTCGTTAATGAATAAGTTAGGAGGCATGATCTACACGGGTTGTAATAAAGACTATGTCTTGTTGAGAAACTGCCCACTTATGTTGACTCCAATATTTTCCCAATCGTTGTATCTCATAGCCCTCTATAATAAAGAGGTAAATAGTTTAGGAGAGGTGATCAAGATAGGATGCAATGGAATTTTTACGGGAGGCCTATGTTGAGTGGTGAACTCAAAAGGGCTAATGATGATGATGATGATGATTTGTTAAATCAGACAAATGGGAATCTGGCAGGGAAATCACGTGCAATATATGTATATAAAAAAGAATATAATAAATAGAATTAAGTGCATATGAAAATATATAGAAATAAAAATGCTTAGATGGATTAGTGAAATATGGAAAAGGTAGAATTTTGAAATAGAAAAAAAGACGTTTCCTTATGATTTCAAAAGGGATTTCATAATTTTAGTTCTAGCAAAAATAGAGAATTTCAAGCACAAGCCGATGATCCTTTAACATTACAGTTACACGTATCTATGAACGGAATTAGTGTAAGAATGAATCAGTATATAATTACATACAAGGAACTCGACCCCGAAATCAATGAGGCATAATGGCAATATGCATAATGTTTTCAAAATCCGAAACATCCTGTACAATTTAATTGATAGATTTATTTATTAATTATTACGTGCCAAGTTCGTTGTGAACTTGAAACATATTTAAAATTAAAAACAAACAATATTTTTGCTTATTAATAAATACCAAACAATTAACTTCTTCAGCTTCGATTAACTTCTATTAACATTTCTACATGTTGGTTTTTGTCGAAATTAATAAGATATTAATATGATTTATAAAATATATTTTTGCATGCTATTGCATTTTGTGTATGAGGTTGATCCTGCGGTGGTAGATCCTCCAAAGTTGCGTAAGTAGACTTTTGTTTATATGCATTTTTATTATTATTTTTTAATCGTTCCAAGTCATAAAACAGCGAGAACTTTTGTTTGTCTGTTGTTTTATATAATCCGTTATAACCAGAATTTTTCCACTTTTAGAAAAAAATTTTATTTTTCTCCATTTGTTTCAATAATTGGAGGAGAAAGATATAATGATATAGGATAATTTTTTCTTCCTCCTCTTGCGAAATCCAGCGATAGTTCTTCTACATCTGGTGATTTGTGCCTTGCTACTTTATCGACTCTTGTGTCCGCCTTCCTACTGATGTAATTGTTCCATTCTTTTTTTTTCTATTTGGTGTCCAGTTGTTGATACTCTGTGCATTATATTTTGTTTTAATCTCGCCACTCCTTATTCGGTCTCTCAATGTGTTTCCTGTAAGTCTTCTGAGTATTCTCATTTCTACTGTCTCCAGCACTCTCTGTATGTTGGTTGTGTCGGGTCTTGTTGCTGATGCATACGTCACTCTTGGTCTTATTGATTTCATGTTACTTTTACTTCTTTTGCAACGTCTCCATAGCTGGACACTGTAATCCCTAGGTCTTTTATTTCCATTACTTGTTGAATCGACTTCCACTTCTTTCTTTATTTTGGGCCATCAATATTGCATTATCTTCATAACAGAAAATGTTTCATTTCATTGTTCCCCATTCTATATCCTCTTTCTTTATTGACTATCTTTATTATCATTTATGGTTATATTAAATAGCATAGAGCTTAGTGAATCTCCCTGTCTTATTCTATTGACTGTATCTATAAGCTCCGTGAGTTGTCGATCTATCTTAACTTCCATATTATTGTTTCCATAAACCTTTTTATAGTACAGATAATAATTGTACGAAGCCCCATAGGAAGAAGGAAAAGAGGACGACCCCGAAGATCCTGGAGGAACGAAGTAGACGAAGCCATGAGTAAGAGATGCCTAAACGATGGAGAAGGGGACAACAGAAAGAGATGCAAACGGTTGAGTGAGGAAAGGCAGTGAATACTGTAGAATCCCTGAATCTATATAGTTTCTTAAGTGTTTTTGTACTTCATGTTTGCTTATGTGACCTTCTTCGTTGATTGTTATTTCTAGTATTTGTCGTTCCAAAGTCATTTGTTGTGCCTCTGTATATAGCTTCTTTAGATAGTCAATTCTTACATTCTTTTCGATGTGTGTCTTCTTGTTGATATGTTAGGCCATAAGGCCTGTTGTTTCCGGTATGATTTAGCAGTAGGTATTGGTAATGTTGACTGCCATCTATCTTTCCATTTTTTAGGGGTTTGCTTTGTGGTCTTTCACCTTCTGGTTTCTGATCTATTAATTCAATACCTCAGCTCTTTGACCTCTTATAAAGCGCCATATATTTTTTTATAAACCATAAAAATCATGTTCCCGTTCTTTTGAGAAGCGTTCCCAGTGCTGGTTTTTCCAATAAATATTGCTTTCATTTTTGCCCAGCTTTCCTTGACTCCATCGCTTTGGACAGTTTATATGGTTCTGCAATTTTCTGCCCTGCTGTTCTTCTTTTGGTATTCATACCTTATTGTGTCGTTATGCAGATTTTTAACTTTTATCTTTGTGGTGTATTCTGCGTATTTATATATATATATATATATATATATATATATATATATATATATATATATATATATAATATATATATATATATATATATATATAGTTTGATAATTTAAGTACCCTTGAGTTCAAGAAAACTCCATTTAATCCTCAATCCATTAAGAATCTTTCTGATGTTGAGGTTTCTCATAACGTTCTTAAGTTGTTGTCTCTAGGTTCTAAATGTGGCCTTTAACCTCCTTTGAAAGATTATTCCATTAGCAGAATCTTAGCTCATATTAAGAATATTGTGTTGTTTTCTGACAATTCTGATCTTCTTAATCTTAGATCATTTTACAACAATATTGTGTTGAATTTTACTCATCTTCCTAGTCAACCAAATTCTGAGATAGATAAAGTCTATAGGGAAGCGGTATCGTTTTTAAAAACCCACCCTAATCTTTTAGTTCTTGCTAGTGACAAAGGAAATGCTATTGTCTTAATGATTAAAGACCAATATCTTAGTCTGAGTCAATCTCTATTAATTAGGTATTATCAGCCTCTTACCTCCAATCCATGTTCTAAATTTTCTAATAAAATTAAAAAATACATTACTGATAAATCCTTAGCTAAATCATTACATCTTCTTCTTCTTCTTGATGTGCTTATGTGTTGTGTTATGTGCCGAGGTAGTTGTAGTGTGTCACACTTTCTACAGGGGATGGGTTGACGTAGAGTTGACCTTCTGTTATTCTTTATTTGCTATTATCATAAGCTTTGTTTTCTTAACGTTTATATTGAGTCCATATTGTTGACTGTAATACGTGATTTTATTCATACGAACTTATAGGTCTTTTAAGTTGTCCGCAAATATTATGGTGTCATCTGCATATCTGATGTTGTTTAGCTGGTAACCATTTAGTAGAATGCCTTTTTCGGTTTCGTGCAAAACTTCGATTATAATATTCTTTCAAAGTAGAGACTGAAGATTAGAGGGGATAAAATACAGCCTTGCCCCACTCCACGCATGATTTTCACACAATTCGCAATCATAACATCAATATGAGGTTATGCACCGGCATTTTATTGTATACCTAAAATATTTACAAAAGCCTACATTCAGCATGAAACCTATCGTGTCCTCAATTAACGCTCCCAGCAAAAATGTTGCAAAGCTTTTGACAAACATCTTGTCTACGTCTTATGATAATGATTTTAATGTAGTATATTCTTTTCAATTTATTGAATTCATTAATGAATGTCAGTTACCATAAAGCTACATTTTAGTAAGTGATGTAGTTTCACTTTTCACCAACTTCTATCTAGCCCTATCTAACCGAACTCACCTGTTTCTTGGTGTGTGCAGAATTAGTACAATTAGTTTTTGATGATAAATATTATCTTGAATATGGGTTCCTCTATCTTAACTATTCTCGTTAATTTTGTTCTTGAGGACTGAATTGTTGACCGATTAAGGTTATTGCATTTTCAAATGCTTTTATTATGCGCTATGTGGATGACCTAATTTTAGCATTACCACTGGACAAGACATGGACCAACCTGTCAGCGTTCAACGATTTTGATCCTCATTTAACATTTACAGACTTAATATGCAGTTTATTTTTATGCAAACTATTCTTTCTGAGACATATTTACAGTACTCTACCTGAATTGAAATTTTCTGGTTTACTATTTTTCGCAACACTAACGTATGGTCCTAACGTTTTGGGAAAAATTTCACCTGATCTAATCGAGAAGCAAAATGCATTTAACAAATGTCATGGAATTGATCCAAAGCAGAATGTTTTGGATTGTGCTCTTCAAAATGTCTTATAAAATTGATATTCGTCTAGGTGTTTATAATATGGTTGGGCAAATGTCGAAACGAGATATTGTTAATATTTATCGAGATCAAAACATAAGCATATCGACAATTTATCGCACAATCAGAGAATGTGAAAAAGGGATACCATGTGTTACCTTGCGTAAAAGTGGCCGACCGCGGATTTTGAACCATATAAGAGAGACAAGACTGATTGAAGCAGCTAAGAACTAAATTGGGGTCTCACAGCGAAAACTGGCCAGAAGATTTCATGTTGGAAAGACGATGAAAAATATTTTGTTCTTAGCTGCTTCAATCAGTCTTGCCTCTCTTATATGGTTCAAAATCCGCGGTCAGCCACTTTTACACAAGTTAACACATGGTATCCCTTCTTCACATTCTCTGCTTGTGCGATAAATTGTCGATTTGCTTATGTTTTGATCTTGATAAATATTAACAATATCTTGTTTCGACATTCGCCCAACCATATTATAAACACCTCGATGAATTATCAATTTTATAAGACATTTTGCAGAGCACAAACCAAAATATTCTGCTTTGTTTATTAAATGTCAATAACTGATGACATTTCAATTCCATGGCCTTCTTTGTTAAATGCATTTGGCTTCTCAATCAGATCAGGTGAAATTTTTCCCAAAACCTTAGGACCATACGTTACTTATCTAACATAATTTGACCTTTTCTCTTTTTCTTTTGAAGTGCACACATATCTATATTTTTCTCTCTCAATTTCTTGGTCATTTCTTGTTTTCTTGTGGTCATTTCAGAATGCACATATTCAAATCTGCTCTAAATATAATATGCACTGTATTATTTTATATATAAATGTTATTGATTTCAGCATCGTATTTTAAAATATGTTCCCAATCTGCACCGAATTTAGGAAAGTGCATAAAAAAATCAGTAGAGGAACTAAAACCACTGCTAATCAAAGGAATACCTGATCTAGACATACCTAGTGTTGAGCCCCTACATATACCGGAGGTGGTTATCGATCAAGGATCGGGACCTGTTGCGCTCAAATCTGTCTACAAAGATATTAAAGTGTATGGACCTTCTAAATTTATCATTAAGGATATTAAGTAAGACATTTTACTTTAGTTTACAGAGTTTATTTCCGAATTCTTGTTTATTATCAGTGACAAAATTAAACTGTTTTTAGAGTAGACTTAGAGAAGGATAAAATGAGAATCAGATTATTTATACCGCGTCTTAAAGTTGTCTGCAACTACAATATGGAAGGAAAAATCATGATGATGCCTATATCCGGTTCAGGAAAAAGTTCTTCGAATTATAGTAAGTGTTTTAACATATTATTATTATTATTTCAACACTGTCCCAACATTAGTTGGTAGTCTCTTGCTCACACTCTTCACAGATTCTTTTTTATTGACCATCACAGAACTATACCATACGCTTTCTTAAGATGAATGAATACCATATGAAGCGCAGTTCTAATTTTACCATTGCCGGTGATGTAACTGATATTACTCTGTAGTCTTGAATATTTTGGTGCCAGCTTGCTGCTAAATGCTTCGATAGCCGAGAGTAAGTAGATGGTGTTACTTTTTTAGGACTGGACGCCAGTGCCTTCACCTTAGATCGTAGCGTTTCATCTAGTCTCCCGAAGCATGTTTCATGTGTACTTTGCACCGTAACATGTTCATTTCGGTTGCTTATAATGTTCTTTTGAGTGTGCTGAATAAAACATTGCCATATTTTTCTGCATAGGTCTACACTTCTCTGTGTCAAGGATCGAGATCGTCATCCACAAGAGAGGAAAATGTGGACATCCCTTAGCTCACAGATTTTAGTTAAAAGGTCTCTCCTTGCAGGCCTGATAGAATCAGCCTATTTTCCAACATTTCTTTTATCCAGTACCATAAATCAGCAGATATCTCTTTTGAAGCTGCTGCATCATAAAGAGAACTTCTATATTAATTGATTTGAATTATTGAATATTAAATGCGCCTTCCATATCACTAAAGAAAATTTAATAAAATTATTAATGGATAATTTGTTAAACTATTTCGTCCAGTACTGTTTCTGTCGATTTTCCTTTTTGATATTCATGCTGATTGCCAATGAGCTATCAAGAATTTTTTCTATTGCCTTCAACAGAAATTATGTAAAACTAATAGGCCTGAAAGAATTGGATAGTGCATTGTCTTGTCCTATTTGATGAATGTACACCACCCTTACAGTTGTCCAACCTAATGCTATGCTAGTCCTAAAGATCTTTGTTAAGATGTCTAATTCTTTTTAATGATAGGGCATCTAATACTCTATTCCCGTGGAGACTTAAATGGATCAAAGTGATTTATGATCCTCTACATTTTCCGGTTTGATATTTATTGTAGCGAATTCCCAATCCCAAACATGGGCAAACAGTCAGAAGAAACGTCATTTTAAAATAAAAGAAACTGATGTTTCAGATAAATATGTCAATTTAGAAATTAAACACACTATTTTGTTTTATGTTTTATTTATTGAACATTAATTTCCATAAATAAATTAATGTTTCGTTTGCTTTTATTAATATTAAACATTTTGTAGCAAATATCGACGCTAGCATTACGATTCGTGCTGAGAAGATCGAAAAAAATAATAATGTATATTATAATGTCAAGGATTTTGACATTAACTTCGATATAGGAGAGGCTGAAATTCATTTTGATGACTTATTTAATGGCGATAAAGATTTAGGCAAGTATTTAGGCTATTTATCAATATTTTGCTTAAAATTTTCATTAATTATGTGAGAATTGGTGCAAAATTTTCTTTCTGAAAGTATATAAACTGACGCCATTTTAAACTTAAAATGAATCTTCTGAAAAATTCATCGTACACCTAAACGGAAAGGATAAATTTTGTAATTGATGTAAAAAAAAATTAGTATCTAAATTGTCTTTTATTGTTTTAGGTGAAGCAATGAATATGTTCCTTAACGACAATTGGAAGCAAATTGCAAATGAAATCAAACCTGTACTCGAAGATAACATAGCAATGATTTTCAAGAAATTCGCCAACAAAATATTTCATAAATATCCTAAAAATGTTTTATTGCCAAAATAATTTCACTAGACAGAAAGAAATGCAAAAATATTTTTATACTGTATTTGTAGAAAGTTTTAATAAAAATAATTAAAATGTCTTTTTAAAATTAATCAATTGAGTTGTGCGTTGATAGAACAGATATGGAAAAAAAATTTTGTGTTGGAAAATCTGATTCTACATAATTGCAGTGGGTAATACTGAAGTCCTATTTGGCACTCGAAAATTAAATAAATGGAACTTTGAATTGTGAATCTAAGTAAGGTATTATAATTTACTCACAAGTAGGCAACATTAAATACATTATGTATGGTCATTGATTATAAACTACCACCTAGATACCTCACTCCACAAACCATACATACTAGTATGTATGGTTTGTGCCTCACTCTAAGGCAAAAACGAATTCAGTGTTAAACTCCACCCACTTACACCTCTTTGCCCCTCACGCCTAAGTGCTACCTGACCATATGGTGGCGAAATTAATTGAAATATTTGCCTATTTTTGAGGTCCCTGGTCCGACCATTATAGACGACATTACAAGGATGGCATTCAGCATTTTCACAAATAATTTTAAAGTGCTTGTAATCTACATTATGAAATTCCGATTTTACTTAAAAAAAATGCTAAAAATTTATTAATGAAAATAGTAAAGGTTTTCTCTCAACTGGATTGGAGATTAAATAGAAAAATTGTTAAAATCACATGGTCTGACATAATATCCAGCAAATTGAAATGATTAATAAGGCTAATGATGATCACTTCTTTAAATGCAACATGAAATATATGTTCAACATTAAAGTTGTAGTAGTTGTAGTTTCTCAGTGTAGTATCTCTTGATATTCCTCAGCCAAGATTTCTTTTTTCTTCCCAACTCTTTTCTTTCCTCTACTCTTCCTTGCATGATGACATGTCCTAGAGTGTATTTATTGCTTCGAAATATTTGGTCCAGATATGATGTTTTTCTATATATCAAATACAACAAATTTTTTATGTTTACTGAAAATTTATTTATTAAACAAAGGTATTTGAAAAACTAAGAAAAAATACTAAAAATAAATAAACTTTAAATAAAACTGCAAAACTAAAAGCATAAAATCATTTACATAAATATAATTGTCTTTGAAAAGCAGTTAACTCAAAAATTAAATTACTATTCACATAATATGTTCTAAGAATTTATTGGCCAGGTCCAGATAGTGACTTATCCATAAACTTCTTTTTGGCAAAGCACAACCACCACTTGCTGGGTTTTTTATCATCTCCGAAAACCTTATCACAAACTCTCATTCCAACTTCCTGTCTGAGCTGTGTCAAATACGCCTTCAATGCATCAGCATCATTTTGACTTGCTGGTTTACTAAAATAAAATAAAAATTTATTCTATCTCAAAAATCGGTACATATCAATTCACTAAATCTTTATGACAACTGTTTTGAGTATTTTTGTTTGCTTTTACTTCCCATTATGATATATGATAATTTTTTGCCTGCTAACATTAATGAGATACAAATAGATTGCAGAAAAATAAACAAAGGATATACTGTTTCAGTCATCTCATAAGACACACTTAACTGCCATATAAAGGATTATGAGACATGACCAAGAGAAAATATATGAAAAAGCAATTTTCTCTGATACATGCGGATTATTCAATTGTTCTGTGGATAATTACTAAATTAATTTAATATTTTATGTAATTAAGTTAATTAGTTAAAGTTCTATACACTATTGATTCGCTGTATGATTTGAAACGAAAAAACTAACTGTGCATACTATAGTTTACAGAATATTAATGGAGTAACATGCAGATGTAATTAATAAACAGGATAAAACATGGAATATTGACTGAGGAATGCAGATACTCACAAGGAAAAAGGAACATTAAATATTTTGCAGTATCATTTCTGCTTTTCAAATGAATAATACACAAAAACCAAAATTATTTGTTGCCACACAATATACATACCTGTAAACTGAATTAAGTGGAAAACCTGGATCACCTGGTATGTCAAATCTAGATATGGCAAGGCTTCTCATCTCGTTCTGAGCTTGAACTTTAGTACTACATTTTTGTAGCTTCTTCAAACATTCTGTTATGTAGAGGGTAATGTATATCAACAATCTATCAGCTTCTGACTAAAAAATATTTTTTCTTTTAATAAGGATTGATCTAAACATTTCTTTTGGGATGAAAGGTACAGTAACTTACTTTAATTTCATAGGTTCTAAAGAAAACATTGGCTTTGAAGTAGAAGAGTGATTCATCAATAATATCCTGTTCTTGTTCATTACTTTGTATGGGACCCGGCCCTTTGAATCGAGTCTTTATTGGTAGAATTGCTATGTTCCCGACAACTGAGGAGGGTTCCAAAAAACTGGAATGATAAGCCTACAAACAATAATAATTAAACATTAGTAAGGAATAAAGGACACGCCCCATTTTTATAACTCAACGATTTCTCAAAATCCATATTGCATTTCTTACCGGCATGTTTATTAAGTTTTACGTTGACCCTTATTTACATGCGAAATATTTTTATAAAAAAGTGCAGGAAAAAAACTAAAAAACTACAATTTTTGTTGACGCTGTTTTTAAGGTTAGCGATTAGTGGTTTTGACGTTGACAGTTCTCAGGCAGGAGTCAAATCCCAAGTACGTGCAAGTACCCAAGTCTATGTTCAAATTCAAATCGTATACTACTGATTATGCAACTCACAAATGTGAAATCTGTAAATACGGAGTCTATTCTGCACTTACTTGCAAATAATAATTTTACTATATTAAAACATTTGGAATGCCACTGCTAGGACCGTAGTATTTCGTAGAGTCATCTCGCAACTCAATTTGAATTTGTATATTCATTTGAATAAAATTTTCATTACTAGCAATCGAGGCTTAATACCTACTTACCATATAAACATAACATTTATCATAGATAATACTACTATAATAAATTATATGCTAATTATATCTATTATATTATAATAACCCCGATAATAGCGATTCATCATCAAAAATTACGTTTTTTGTTTACATTATAAAAAATTATAATTTTTGACATTATTAGGCATTCATTACTTCGTTTTGCTGTAGAGTTGGTTGCCGACATCGTGAAGGAATTTCTCTTGGATTTTATTATCGTTGAATAATCAATCCCACATGACATTTTTAGGTCAAGCACTAGTGAATATAATTCGAATATCAAATATTCATTTAATAACGCATGACCCGATATTATACACACATAATTAAAATTTACATTTTTGTCAATGATATGCTTCTGGTAACCGGTTTAATACTATTTTTAACGGCCATTGTGACGATTTAACTCATTTAAAAAACTTTAATTTCACGATTATTTCAAAGGATTTTCTAATCGTCCTTCCCATTTTTAATTCTGATTTTTTATTTCACATTAATTAATTTTTAACATATTTCTTCCACATTTTCTTCATGATTTTGGATGTATGGTTGGTAATTCTTCACTCATGATTTTAAATGTACCTATGGTTGGGATATTGACAATGAAAGACATGATTTTATACACTTGAACACATTTGATTTTGATTCATAAAAAATTGTTAATTGTAAAAACAATATAAATTTTAAAAAATCTACATTACCTATATATGCAATTTATAAATAATTAGTTATCTTCTTACAAATTACATAGTTTACTATTTCGTCTCATGATTTTGGTATCAAGTTTTTATTTATAAAAACATTAAGTATATAAAATATATTATCAATTTAATTTGTTCTTTGAATAGATATTGTTTCAGTAGCTGCCTTTAACCACATCATCATATGAAGGAGGGGGTCCTTCGGCTGTACCTTAAAAATAATAAGAAATTCATTTTTGATTTTAAAAACTTGGTATTTACACACTTACCATTGTTGTCATCAATATAGGTTAATCGGTCATTGGCCAGAGGTGCAGAAGGTGGAACAGGGGGATAAACGACTAAAAATGTCAAAAATTAGAATGTTTACAAACGTAAAACAATTTTTTTCAGCAATTTTTCATTAATTCTTTGAGTGAGCAATAGTTAGTAAAAGAAAATAAGTAAAAAGGTACCAATAAGACTATTGACCGGTCTAATTTACACAAACTTTAAATTTATAGTGCGTTTCTTTGTTAGAAAGTGCAGTAATCTTACCTGGAGGGGCTTGGGCTACAGGAACAAAACTATTTGAAGGGTTAGAAATAGGATGTTGCATTTGATCCATCCTAATCACTGTGTTTCCTAATTTAATAGTAATTTCAGCAACCATATTACTGTGAAATAATGGATAAAGCGCTTGTACCTAAAACCAGAGGATTTGTTGATATATGTATAATTGGCAATTTATGCGAATGGATAAGCTTTTTTAACAAACAAATATGTTTAGCCTGTTGACCTGAACAGCAGCATTATTAACCCTTAATTTGGAATTGTATCTTATAGACTACGTCATTTTCAAATATTCAAATTGTCTACCTCTTAAATAATTTACTCATTATTGTCTGTTAAATGTATTACGTATATGTCTACTAAACTCAGAAAGCTAATAGTACTGCCATCTCTAGTGATCATTCAAAGTTATTCACAATTGTTTATAAGATGGTTGCCTAGTGAACGCCGATTAGAAAAAGGCTGGTAAGTTTTTTTCAGTACTGTAAAAATAAGTATTTTGTTTTAATACAGGAGGTGAAATTGTAGCATGATGATGTGTTGTAATCATACATGTATGAATATTTATATATAAATATTCAAAAGTGACGATACCGAACCATTTTTTAAGCTGTATCCTATATTATATATTTGCCAAAGATACAGCATAAAAGAGCATTTTTGTTTTGTATCCTATATTCTACTTTGCCAAAGATATAGCTTAATGGAACTTTTTTGTTATGTATCTTATAGTTTTCTTTTCCATATATTCAGTATTGTGAAATATTTTTGTTTTGTACATGTCCCACAGTTCATTTCCAATTTCATTATTAAAATTTGTTTAATGAAACGTTTCAAAATGAATTCATTTAGTTATATAGGTAAGTTTCCTTGGTTTCAGATAAATACCAATATGACATCATCAAGGTCCGAAAAAATTTTAGCATTACTTCCACCACCTTCATTTGATATGGATGATTCGAGCGATGAAGAAAATGAAAGTTATACTAAACTCAAAGTTCTGATATGGATCCATCTAGAAGTCAAAGTTTTAAAACCGATGAAAGTTCTGAGGTCGAAAGTTTACCTCCTGAAGTTCAAGAAATTTTTGATACATTATCAGATACAGATTCAGCATCCGAAACTGAACATTTAAAACCAGAGCTATCAACACATCAATCTGCTTATAGTACGCTTAAATCTATTTGCAGTATACCTAAATCTGCTTTGAGTCCTCTAAAAACACGATCACAACATCAGATACCTGGACCATGTAAAGATAATAACGACAATACTAACCAACCTAAAGGCAAACTACAAAGTAAACGCACGAAACGACAGAATTTGCTTGAATACCACTGGACGAAAGAAGAATTTCAATATCGTGTGAACATTCCCGAAAATAACTTTTCTGATGTGGATGAATTAAAGTCACGATTAGAATATTTCAAAATATTTTTTTCAGACGATCTATTCGAGTTGATTGTCAACAATACAAACCTTTATTCCGTTCAGCAAACAGGCAAGTCGATTAGCGTTACCAAAGATGAGATAAGTGACTTCATAGCGATACAGATTTTGATGGGTATAGTGGCTATGCCATCATACTTGGACCACTGGAGTGTAAACTTCAGATACAATCAAATATCAGAAATAATGCCTCTCAAACAATATCAGAAAATTCGCCGGTATATTCACTTCGCAAATAACGATCATATAAACAACGATCAGTACTACCGAATTCGCCCAGTTTTGGATATAGTGAGAAGAAATTGTTTTATTATAGAAGAAGAAAGACGCCAGACTATCGACGAGATGATGGTCCCTTATAAAGGAAAAAAGGCTGGTTCACGACGACAGTATATAAAATCGAAACCAAAAAAAATGCGGCTTTAAAATATTTCTTAGAGCCGGCATTTCAGGATTTGTGTACGATTTCATAGTTTATGGGGGATGATACTTTTAGGCAGCATACTTTTTCACAAAAAGAAGAATCTTTAGGATTGGCAGGTGCTAAAGTTGTTCTTGCTCTAACACAATCAATGAAATCACCGGCGCTCAGTGTTATCTATGTCGATAATTTCTTTTCAAGTTTTTATTTGTTTTACATTCTTCGCCATGATTATGGAATTTTAGCCCTGGGAACAATGAGAAATGATGGATTAAAAAATTGTGTTTTAGAAGATAATAAGTCTCTGAAGAAAAAAGGAAGAGGGTCGTTTTGATCAAAAACTGACAACATTAATAAAATAAATGTTGTGAAATGGTTTGACAACACACCTGTTTTACTTGCCAGTACATATATATCTTCTACACCTGTCCAAACAATTAAAAGGTATGATAAAAGGCAGCGAGCAAAAATTGAAGTCCCTTGTCCCTCTCTCATAAAACACTACAATGCTCACATGGGTGGTGTAGATCTAATGGACATGCTGGTAAGCCTTTATAGAATTTCCCTAAAAACTCATCGCTGGTACCTCTCCATATTTGCACAAATGCTAGATATTTGTATAAACAACGCATGGATTCTGTATAGAAGGGATAAAAATATTTTACAACACACGTCCAAAGGTTATACTCTCAAATATTTTAGAAAGTGCATAGCAGAGACTCTAACAACAAAGGGCAGAAAAAATAAGAGAGTGTTTGCCGAGCGAACCGAAGAAATTAAAAAAATTAAAAAGTGCGTTCTGCCGAGACCATCAGAGCAAATTCGATTTGATAAAGTTGATCATTTTCCTATTTATGATACCAAAGGCAGGTGTAGGTATTGTAAATCAGGAGAGACACACTGGTCATGTTCAAAATGTTCTCTTAGATTGTGTTTAGTAAAGGATAGAAATTGTTTTTATTCTTTTCATAATAGCACATAGGTAAGTTTTACAACAGTTTTGGTTGTTTTTTACTAGAATAAAAAATTATGTTACTTTATTATATATTACTTTACTACTTTTTGCTTTCTTTTTTTTTTCATTAGAAAACTAGTTTAGTACTTTAAGTTTCTGCTTTTATTGTGAGGTTTTACCTACAATCTTCGTCTTTGTTTCTTATAAGATACATAATAAACTTTTACAATAAATTTGGATATTTGACTATGTATCTTGTGGGATACACTCCATATCTCCCTTGTTTATAAAAAAAAATAATATAAAAATGGTCAAAATGCCTTGTGATATACCATATCACACTACCTAAACAACAATTTCACAAAAATTACTGTTATATTAAGGCTTGCCAAATTAAGGGTTAAAAACGTCTCAAAATTTTATTTAGCAGACCCAGTAATACTTTTTTAAAAGATAAATCTGCAAGAAAAATATGTAACTTGTAACTTACCCGTAACGAACACCATTGTCTAAATAATGTACATTTAGTAAAATTGGTTATTATAGCAGTTTCTGGAATTTTTAGACTAAATTTATGAATTTTCCTGCTTCCTTGTGCAACACCAGATCCTTCTGCTACAGCTAAAAGAACTCTCTCTGTTTTATGCCTGGTCGATGGGGAGTAAGCCGTAAGTTGAATAGTCTACAAATAATAATATACAATAAGTGTACGCGGTTATACAAAACTCCTTACTTCCTTCATTTTAGATAAATCACCGAATACTTATCAGCGTAAGAAAGTACTTTATAATACTTTTTCTACTACACTTTTACTATAAACTTTTCTTCTGGGAAAGAATAGCCGACAGAAAACATGTAGTATTAAAAAAATATTGTGTGTAAGGTACCGAAATTATTATAGGAAGCCTAGCTATCTTATCGCGGCAGGCTACGGATGAAATGCATTGATCGCGCAGATAGGTAGTTAGATAATAGATAGCGCAGAGGTGTTAAAAATTAAAACAAAAAGAAACGCACCATGAAACGCATAAAATAAACTAACTAAATAAAATTAAATGAATTGATAGTAAAATAAAATAATCGAATTGAATGAAATCGAATGGAATTAAATGGAATCGAATCGAATTTAATCTAATGCTGTCGAAAGGATCGAGGAATAGAATGGAATCGAATTGAATTTAATTGAATGGAATAGAATTCAACCGAATAAAATCGAATTGAATTCGATTAATATTAAATTAAATTAAAAACCATCGCTTCGTACGCAGACGATAAGGAAGCAATGCTTCCCCTCCTCGGTCATTACTGGAGTACCACATCCCGTTTTTGACGTACAAACCACAAAATTTGTTAATATTTACCGTGGATAATTGTACCATTACGCTGCTAATTTCTGAATCGGATGTATTATTAATAAGTGCTTTAAAGTTTATCACGTCTCCTACTACGTAGTTGTCCTTTTCTAATTGTAACTCCATAGTTGAAGGTTCTTTGGGCCAGCAACATGTCCCTACTTCTTTGTTGACTTCAAGTGATATTGGTCTCTAAAACAGAAATATAACAGGAGTTTTAAACCTTTTTAAAATACCGATATTTGTTTGCAGTAAACAGTATTTTAACAAAGACATACCATTTGGTGTGTTGTTGGAGAATTTATTATAGGTGATACAACATGTAATGCAACGTCATCTTTGTAATCGAATGCAAACGGTCTATCCACAAAGGCGTGCAAAAAATATCTGATACTACCAAACTGATGTTGGTAAGAAGATGGAATAAATGCTGGAGGCAGTACATACGAAAAGAAATATTCGTATTTTCCAGGCCCCATAGTACCTAAAACGATAATCAAGTAAATAGAAATTAGTTCAACAACCTAGTATATGTACAGTCCATGCTCAAACTATTGGACTCACCATAGAAATTTCAGATTTTTGAATTTCAAGCGCCTTAGAACTATTTTCACAGTGATACAGAGCTGTTGAATGGGTTGCATAAATATTGGTGAATAATTATGCTATTCTTTGTTTCACGTTAAGAAAATAACATTACGCTTATGGAGATCAGTGTTGCCAAAACTCTCAGACACTCTCTTTTGCACGGATGTCCAAGATATTCCCTTTGCTTAATTTTTGAATTTTCATTTTCAATTAATATTTAACTGTAAACTCAGAATAACTACTAAATAAAAGCCTTATTATCATTATGTAGTCAGAGACGACATAAAATAGCTGACATACGCACATCGTATTATTTTAAGTTGCAATTAGTAATTAGATATACGCATTCCAAGCGGTCAATATTTTCTACTGATTTATATGATTCATGGCATATCGTATTCTCACCGAAAAACAAATAATCTGTCGTTACTATAATTAAAATAAGATAAAATAAAATTATCTTTTGTAAATACTATTTATCTAATTAAAATCATTTTCCCTACTCTTCATCTCTTGTTTCGAATGGGCACTTTTGGTCAATTACGTTAAAAAACATTAATTTAATTCATGTTTGTGGAAACGAAAATACAAATTATACAACCCTAAATTGTGCTTGTGTGTGTCGTGGCAACGCCGCGTTGCTATCGTCCATAAGAAATACATGGTCCTATCTTCGCAATGTTATTTTCTAAACGTGGAACGTAGTATACATAATTAAGTTAAAAATTAATGGTGAAACTTTTTTATTGAGTTGTCAAAACTTGGCAGATGGCAACAGAATAAATATGCTAAAAGTATGCCGTGACACGACTTTTTTTAACTTTACTTTTTTACAATTAGTGATTGATGTTCATTTTTTGTAAAATTGCAGTGATTGATATTAGTCCATGTATTTGGTTAATTTCTAGTCATAAAACAATACAGGTAATCTCTGATTTTTTCAGATGGGCGAATGTAAATATCTTTCTGTTGAGCAAATATCTTTTCTTACTGATCTATTAGAAAACACCATATATAGTAAAAGATAAATAGAAAGAAAATGTGGTATATCTCAATGATTAATTCGAAGGTTGAGTCTAAAACTTTAAGAAAAACGTCCTGTCATGTCGGTTTGGAAGGTGAAGTCGCTTTCAGTCATCCCCAGAAGACAACGAATTTTAAAGAATTTGGCTGTAAAACACAAAATAAGTTAAGACAAATCATATTATTATCATACTTGATAAGTATAATTTTATATTCGCATTTGCAGGTATGCTTAGTAATAAAGTAACATTTTAAATTATGGATGTGCCCAAAAACGTACAGGAAAAATTTCAGAAGGGATATATAATAAAAACATTTAAGCATCCCACATTGGTAATGATCTGGTCTCTAATGACTGGCAAAGGAATCGAACGTTTATATGTGGTAGAAGGAACCATACGACAGGATAAGTATAAACGAGTTTTGCAAACAAGATTGATTTCACAAATGAACTATTGGTTTGGTAATGGTCGCAAGGACTTAATGCAGGATGGTGTACCTTGTCATATGGCTAGAAGCATTGAAATTCGGTCAATGAATTCCTCTATTACCATGATCCGGCAACTCACCAGACATGAACTCTATTGAAAATATCTGGGAGTGCCTAAAAAGGAAGTGCCGAGGAAGTAATGACAACTAAGGTTTAATTAATTGGAAGAATCATTCTTCATTGAAACCATACTGCCTATTTAAAACAAGTAGCAGCAAGATGCATAAATAGCTTGTCTAGAAGAGTGGCTGTACTAAATAAAGCTAAAAGTAATTTAACAAAACATTAGTACGAAGGTGGATTGATATAAAAATAGCCTTTGATAGAAAAAACAAGTTTTTTGGAATTAAATCGATTTATTTCTCAACATAGTCTCCTTTTAGCTCGATACACGTAGTAAAACGTTGTTCCAATTTTTTTATCCCATCCGAATACTACTTTTGCTCGAATTTTTCAGAATAGGCCGAAGTTTCAGCGACGACTTAATCATTTGTTGCGAAACGGCGATCCATTTTTTTAGATTTGGAAACAGGAAAAAATCGCTGGCGGCAAGATCTGAGGAATACGGTGGGTGTTCAACAAATTCATAACCCAATTCATGTAATTTTGCCATGTCGACGGCAGATCGGTGAGCCAGTGCATTGTCTTGATGAAAGAGCACTTTTTTGCGTTCCAAACCAGGGCATTTTTGATGTAATTCGGCATCGAATCAATCCAATAATGCTGCGTAGTACTTACCATTGATTGTTTTTCCTTTTTCCAGGTAGTCAATGCGGATGATGCCTTTCGCATCCCAGAAAACAGTCGCCATCACTTTGCCGGCCGATTGTGCACTCTTTGCCTTCTTCGGCGGCCCTTCGCCGCGTTTGCGCCACTGTTTCGACTGTTGTTCGGTTTCCGGTGTGTAATAATGCACCCAGGTTTCATCAACAGTGATAAATCGGCAAAAAAAATCTTTCGGATCGCGCCATATCATCGCCAAAAGCGTCTCCGAAGTGGTCACACGTTTTTGCCTTTCATCGATTGTCAGCAAACGCGGCACCCATCGCGCGGATAGCTTTTTCATGTCCAAATGATGGTGAATGAATGAATTTAGGACCTCTATTAACTGGCGGAGCTTAATTCAACGATCTGTCATAATCATGTCATGGACTTTGTTGATCATTTCCGGCGTGGTGACTTCATTTATCCTCCCGCGACGTTCATAATTAAAAACACTCGTACGACCACGAACAAATTCAGCTTTCCAAAATTTTACTGTTGCTAACGAAGGTTCAATCTTACCATAAACTTCGTTCAAGTCGGCTTTGATTTGCACATATGTTTTACTCTTTTTGTGGAGGAACTTAATCACCGAACGATACTCGACTTTTTCCGTTTCTCCGAAAACACAAAATTTGCTGTAAAAACCAAACTAACTGTTTTTGAAACTTAAAATTTTGACAGACGTCATATCATGAATGTCTAATGTCAACAGCGAAACCAATTCGGTATCAAATAGCGCCATCTATCAAAGACTACTTTAATATCAATCTATTCTCGTATTGTAGTAAATTTATGTCATATTTTAATTTTTTTGTTAAATAAATATACACAAAGGATAATATTACAATTGATTATGAAAAAAAGAAAATCAGAATTTGCTAATTAGACTAGAAGTCTAATAATATTGAGCATTGACTGCGCAGCATGTGATAACAAAGCTGATAATAAGAAAAAATATCAGCGCTATAAATATTGTTGTAATTAAATATAAAAAAAACGTACCTTCTTCAGCAAAATTGGTATTAGCCACCACAAAATCGTTTTGTCCATGATAATGTGTTGTATGTTTGCCTCTGCGCTCGTTCCAGTGAACTTGTTCTCTTCCACGAAATTGACATTTAATACCTATAACGATTGTTTATTCACAGTTTTGTAGAAAATATATATAAATAGCAAAATAATATCCTTTATTATATTGAATTTATATTTCTGAGAACATTAAAAAGATAATTCGATTTTTAAGTAAAAATTAAAGAAAATATGAAACAGTATTTTACAGAATATATGTGTTGTTTAATTTAGAAACTGAAAACCATACATATTATAGCGAGCCATCGAAGAAAAACGTACTTAAAGCAAGCCTTGGAATAAGCCTTATTATAGCTTCTTGTCAGAGATCAATGGAATAAGTAACATCGAGCCGCAAGGTCGACAAGATGTTACTACGTTAGACTTTTTCTTTTTGGCCACATATAATTGGTCGATTAGATCACCTACAGCGAGGTAAGTGTGTTTAGTCCATCTGGTCCGATTGGTTATCTAACCGCCAAAAACTCTCACAAATTTCAAGAAAATAAAATAGTCTAAATCACGATTAAACCCTTATGTCTATTTTGTACCAAATATAGGAGAGTTATTTGTCAGGAATGTAATAAAATGCATAAACAAAGTTATTCAAAGTCGAAGTCAAAGTCTAATAAAGGATTTATAAGAATACATTTTGTTATTTTAGTTGGAAAAAGTATAATAATTACATTTATTAAAAATAACTGATGTGGAGTCTGCGGATGAACACGGGCAACTTTTAGCACTAAGCCCTCCTAGGAAAAGAGCTGAAAAGAATCACACAGAGATAAGAACCAAAGAAATAATGGTTAATATATACAAATGTGAATTACAAGATAATGCTACTTTAGCGTTAATGGACATTCGACAAAAGGTTGCAGATAAAGTTGGATTATTTCGAAAATTGTTTTCAATGTCATTAAAGAATAAGTACCCACACATTGTCTGCACCGAAAACAAACCAAAATCGTTTAAAATCATTAGATGATGTAGATAACTTTGACATGATGATGTCTAGCTATTATAAGAAGAAAGGTTAATCAATATTTTTTTCAGTAATTCCTACAATTGACAAAGTAGTAAGGAAATTAAATTTCAAATTTCAAAAACGTGGAAGAAATAGTTTGTTACTAGACAAAAATGAAATTGTCGATGGCGAAGAGATTATTTGCAAAAGATAATACCGTATAGAGCTAAAAATAGAACTTATTACCTAGATAAAACTTGAATAACTGCTGGCCATACAAAATCAAAAGTTTGTGAATGCTTGTGACTTCTGCAAGACGTGTCTCTTTGGATGGTCTGTTGACCTGCTTAAAAAATCCCTCAGGTAATTAAAACTAAAACAAACTGTAAGAAAAGCTAAAAGAGTAACAATCCGTCACATCGAAAGTGAGTATGGTTTTATTCCGGATGCACTGTGAGATTTTGACTCGAACAAAAGTGGAGAATACGATGAGAAGATTTATGTGAAGTGATTTAAAAGTGATTTTACAAACGCTGGAAAAAAATTCTGTAATTGTTATGGACAATGCCCCTTACAATTTCAGAAAATTTGCTTCGCTCAAAGACATTCCCTTTGAAGAAACGCTGTTAAAAGTAAAACTTTTGCAAATTATTAAACACCATAAATACGAATATATAAGGTACATATAGAATAGTTTTAAGGTTGCTACCGTACCACTACGAGCTCAATCCAATCGAGCGAAAGTCAGGAATTACGAGGTCTGGCCGTCTGGCTATTAAATAACGAGACTGCGCGAGCAGAAGGCGTCCTAGAAGGGAAGAATGGGAAACGAATGCAGCAGTGGCACCGAACAATGTGGATAGCTGGAAGTGTCTACTCTTCCAGTACGAAAACACGTTTTTGTCGCTGTAGTAGTATTTTTTCTGTAGAGGTTGTTAGAGAAGAATGTATTTTTTTTCTCCTAACGATAACAATGTTTGAAGAAAAACATGAGCAACAGATTAATGTGAAATTTCTCGATAAATTAAAAAAACTCCAACTGATTGCTATAATTTAAAGATGCCTATGGTGAGAATTCTCTATCTCGTGCGCGTGTTTTCGAATGGTATAAACGGTTTTCTGAAGACCGAGAGAGCGCCGAAGATGACCAACGTCCAGTACGACCTATCTCTGTGCCCGGAAATCATCGTATGAGCATTCGGATGATGGCTGAGACTGTAGACGCCGATAAAGAAACTGTCAGAAAAAATTTACATGACGAATTGAACATGAAGAAAGTCTGTGCAAAGTTGGTCCCAAAAAATTTGACCCCTGACCAAAAGCTCGTCGGTTAACAGATCTGCTCAAGCCATGCTAATCGTTTTTTTCGACATTAACGGCATCGTGATGACTGAATGGGTTTCAGAGGGTCAAACTGTAAACCAAACTTACTATTTGAAAGTTTTGGCAACGCTGCGAGAGCGAGTTCGTAAGAAACGACCGAAGTTGTGAAAAAACAAGCTTTCAAGAAAAAACTTAGCCGCTAGAGGCATTCCAGTGCTCGAACACCCACCGCACTCGCCTGATTTAACACCCAGTAACTTTTTGTCTTTGCCTGCCTAAAAGGAATCCAGTTCGACTCGATGGAAGAGGTGAAGCGAAAAACGGCGGAGCTCCTAAAAGCTCTAACAAAAGAAGACTTCCAACATTGCTTTGACCAATTAAAAAAACGACTGGAACGGTATGTGGCAAGGAAGGGGGAATAGATTGAAGGAGATCATTCGATTGTAGAATAATTTTTAAAATAAAACTCTTTTTCATAAGTAGTCTCGTTATTTAATAGCCAGACCTCGTATGTTGCAGCCAATATCACAAGATTTAAATTTGATGACATTAGATATTTATTCCGTGAAGCTATGTATGCTGTAACCATGGAAAAATGGAAAAACTGCGTCAAACATGCAAAAGAAGAAGTGGAGCCAAAAATGTGGAAGTTGGACAATCTGATTGAAGCATAAATTGAGCCCCTCACCAATAACATTAATGATGACATCAGTACGTCAGAATCTGAAATTTAAGAGTAAACTTGTTTTTTTTTTCTGTATACTTTATTTTTAATCTGTATCTGTCAAACGTCAAGCCACAAAAAGTTTTATATTGTAACTTTAATTTACTAGTCCGGTCCTGAATCAACGCGTGTTTTTAGTGTACATTTGTTTACACCATCTGTAGCTTTAACCTGAATTTAGTATAGGCTACTACCGAACCACAGAATAATAAAATATTTATTCTGTGAGCAAACCGTATATCTATGTGATTCACCGGCGGGTCTCAGTTACGATTTTTTTTCGACAGCTTCATAGTTATAGTAAAAATGTAATATTTAGCACAAGAAACCAAGCTAAATTAAAAAAGGATATTATTATAGATAGTAATAGTTCCAATTAAATTGTACATAGTGTGTTTTACCTCTTATTCGTTCTTCCCTTTCGAACATGCATATTATTTTTCCCGATATCGCATCACCTGGACCAAAAATGCCTGGATTGTTTATAACAATTTTGCACGTCATAATCTAAACCTAAAAAATTAAGATGGCAATAATTACTAAAATTAGAGTATGCTATGATCTTAATTTTAAGTAACCGGGTTTCAATTGAATCAGTGAAATGTAAAAGGAAAACATTCCAAAAACTTTACTTTTGGAAAATTAAAATAAACGTTTTATCTCTTTAACTAGTTTTAACAGCATAAAACTCTTAATTACTTTTTTGTAGTATGGGGTAAGCAAAAGATATTTGTAACAATTAGGTTTTATATGTACACATTTATTGAGTAATTACTTTTTACTTATTAGTACGTTATTATTTTAGAATTCAAGTAAAAAATGAAGGCTATTTTGTTACTGCAAACTTGTTTATTTACATCATGAATGTGTTGCTTGTGTGAGTCCATTTCAAATAGGTAAAGAAATAATAAATAAGACTACAAGTTGAAAGAATTGCACACCCACACAATTTGTACATCTAAGCTTATTCATTGTCATAAAACTGTCACCTTCATAAAACGAATACTCAATAAATAACACACATTTCATAAATATATCTCTTGAATAAGTATAAATAACTTTTAAATAATACAATGGTATATAACATCACTTTCATCTAACAAACAATCACATTACACCTATCTCTACTTCATTGGATCAAATCTATCTCCTCAAGAACTTTCCGTTTACTATCAAACAACTACAATAGCAGACTTAAGTTCTCCATTCAACAAAACATGATAGTTTCAACCATGTTCTACCATCCATCAATTACTAGAGTACCGGCATCATTTACTTAACATTGTATCGAGACCTGAAGATGCTTTGCATATTGTAGAAAGCGAAACCGGTCGCCTGAATAGATAAATTAAATTGATTGTGAGTAAGTCTTATTTATTATTTCTTTACCTATTATTTATTTACATTTAAATGCTGTTATACAGTTTATTCATCGTCACTTAAATCACTAATAAAACTTTTAAGTTTTATTAGTGATTAATCATTCCCCTCCATTGGAATTAATTGGTCCCAACTTAGGATCTGTTCGTAGAAATGTTAATTTTCCTCTGGCATGTAATGCATAATCTTTGTGGCATCGAGTTTGTTAGCTTTCACTGGCAACAATAAGTGATAGACTTGATCTCTGGGAAGCTCCACTCTTCCTCCTTTATACAACTTAAAAGTTCCAACCACGAAACAATTAATTAATGGACGAGCGTCGATATAGCCATATTTCTCATTGGTATACTGGAAGTGCTTGAATTAACTGATGTTAAAATATGTGTATTGTCTTGGTTTTTTGTAGTTTTCTTGAATATTGAAAGCCACCATTGTTTGAAAACAAGAAAATTTGCATGTTCCAATAGTACTACTAGAATTTTTGAAGCTTTTACTTTAGCTTCTTGAATGATATTATTGTATTGTTCTGGTGTAAAAATACGGTCACGTTTACGAATAACACGTTTTGATGTGGCAAAGTCGTGATCACTGGGAACTGGGAAATAATGGTGAATTCTGTTAAATCTTCCTGCCATTGTTAGTGCTAAGAACATTCGTACAATGGTGTGATTGCGGTTTTGACCACCGCAAGCGTCACTAAAAACATGTTACTCTTTTATTTCAGGGGTATTTTATCTCTAATGTACTTAGATACCATAATACAAACCTCATTAGGCCCCTTTTTCTCTGATTCCTTATGATAGGTATAAAATACTACTTCATTAGTTGTTAGCTTATGAACACTAAAGACATACAACCATAGTTTACGCAGGTAAAACATTTCCTGCACAGCTAATGCAAGCAACTGTACATTTTGCATAAAGTCAAAACTAATTACCATAATGTCTGTTCTGTTATTGCACATTTATCGAACACATTTTCGTTTATAGTAAAATTTTTTAGCTCTTCGTTTATGTATAACAATATCAGCCGCAGCTGATAACTTTGCATTTTGGTTAAGAGAAGATTTCATTTTCATATAAAATGAGTTCCTCGCAGACTGAACAGACATCAACTTGAGGCCTGCGACAATTTAAAATCAAAGTTTACCTTTTAAAGTTGTATTTACATAAGCACTATAGGTGTCGGGACATGCATTTTGACGAAATTGGTCAGGAGATGTCTGGACTAATAAACAGATCACATGATTTTTGTTACGGTTAAAGTATAAAGATAATAACTGTCGCTGTTGAGTGGTGATGGGGCGCGGTGGAGTTGGATGCTATAGGAGCGGGGTGGATGATGTCAACATGTGCATGCGTGGGGCGGGGGGGAGTGACTGGTTTTCACCGTCGGTTGGCGCAGGCTGGAGGGGGAAGGGGGTCGTAGGGCGGGTTGCGGTTGGTCAGGTGGGATGGGTTTCGGTATATTTGGACGGGAGGCTCTAGGGCAAGGGGGGGGGGGGCGGCTGGCTTTTTGTAGTATACTGTGGGGGAGCTAGTGTTGGTTGGGGCCGATGGCGATGGGCGGTGGGGGTACTGGGGTGCTCATTTGGGTTGTTGTCGGGAGGTGTCGAGGCTGTGGTATTTTGTTTGAGGGGATGGGGGGATGTAACGTTTACTGGGTGGGGATGGAGGCACCGGGAGGGTTAATTCCTTGTAAGGGGGTAGGAATACTTTGGGGGCGTAGGAAGAGAGAAGGGGGGACGCGGTGACGGGTGTGGGGGCGTGAGCACAGGGGGGTGAGGCCACACAGGGGAGGCTGGGGGGGGGGTGGGGGGGGGGGGGGGGGGGGGTGGGTAGGGGGGGAGGGAGGTGGGGGTGGGGGGGGGTGGGAGGGGGGGGGGCGGGGGGGGTTCGGGGGGCGGGTGGGGGGGGGGTGGGGGGGGGGGGGGGGGGTGGGGGGGGGGCGGGGGGGGGTGGGGGGGGGGGGGGGAGGGGGGGGGGAGGGGGGGGGGGGGGGGGGAGTGGGGGGGGGGGGGGGGGGGGGGGGGGGGGGGGGGGGGGGGGGGGGGGGGGGGGGGGGGGGGGGGGGGGGGGGGGGGGGGGGGGGGGGGGGGGGGGGGGGGGCGGGGGGGGGGGGGGGGGGGGGGGGGGGGGGGGGGGGGGGGGGGGGGGGGGGGGGGGGGGGGGGGGGGGGGGGGGGGGGGGGGGGGGGGGGGGGGGGGGGGGGGGGGGGGGGGGGTGGGGGGGGGGGGGGGGGGGGGGGGGGGGGGGGGGGGGGGGGGGGGGGGGGGGGGGGGGGGGGGGGGGGGGGGGGGGGGGGGGGGGGGGGGGGGGGGGGGGGGGGGGGGGGGGGGGGGGGGGGGGGGGGGGGGGGGGGGGGGGGGGGGGGGGGAGGGGGGGGGGGGGGGGGGGGGGGGGGGGGGGGGGGGGGGGGGGGGGGGGGGGGGGGGGGGGGGGGGGGGGGGGGGGGGGGGGGGGGGGGGGGGGGGGGGGGGGGGGGGGGGGGGGGGGGGGGGGGGGGGGGGGGGGGTGGGGGGGGGGGGGGGGGGGGGGGGGGGGGGGGGGGGGGGGGGGGGGGGGGGGGGGGGGGGGGGGGGGGGGGGGGGGGGGGGGGGGGGGGGGGGGGGGGGGGGAGGGGGGGGGGGGGGGGGGGGGGGGGGGGGGGGGGGGGGGGGGGGGGGGGGGGGGGGGGGGGGGGGGGAGGGGGGGGGGGGGGGTGGGGGGGGGGGGGGGGGGGGGGGGGGGGGGGGGGGGGGGGGGGGGGGGGGGGGGGGGGGGGGGGGGGGGGGGGGGGGGGGGGGGGGGGGGGGGGGGGGGGGGGGGGGGGGGGGGGGGGGGGGGGGTGGGGGGGGGGGGGGGGGGGGGGGGGGGGGGGGGGGGGGGGGGGGGGGGGGGGGGGGGGGGGGGGGGGGGGGGGGGGGGGGGGGGGGGGGGGGGGGGGGGGGGGGGGGGGGGGGGGGGGGGGGGGGGGGGGGGGGGGGGGGGGGGGGGGGGGGGGGGGGGGGGGGGGTGGGGGGGGGGGGGGGGGGGGGGGGGGGGGGGGGGGGGGGGGGGGGGGGGGGGGGGGGGGGGGGGGGGGGGGGGGGGGGGGGGGGGGGGGGGGGGGGGGGGGGGGGGGGGGGGGGGGGGGGGGGGGGGGGGGGGGGGGGGGGGGGGGGGGGGGGGGGGGGGGGGGGGGGGGGGGGGGGGGGGGGGGGGGGGGGGGGGGGGGGGGGGGGGGGGGGGGGGGGGGGGGGGGGGGGGGGGGGGGGGGGGGGGGGGGGGGGGGGGGGGGGGGGGGGGGGGGGGGGGGGGGGGGGGGGGGGGGGGGGGGGGGGGGGGGGGGGGGGGGGGGGGGGGGGGGGGGGGGGGGGGGGGGGGGGGGGGGGGGGGGGGGGGGGGGGGGGGGGGGGGGGGGGGGGGGGGTGGGGGGGGGGGGGGGGGGGGGGGGGGGGGGGGGGGGGGGGGGGGGGGGGGGGGGGGGGGGGGGGGGGGGGGTGGGGGGGGGGGGGGGGGGGGGGGGGGGGGGGGGGGGGGGGGGGGGGGGGGGGGGGGGGGGGGGGGGGGGGGGGGTGGGGGGGGGGGGGGGGGGGGGGGGGGGGGGGGGGGGGGGGGGGGGGGGGGGGGGGGGGGGGGGGGGGGGGAGGGGGGGGGGGGGGGGGGGGGGGGGGGGGGGGGGGGGGGGGGGGGGGGGGGGGGGGGGGGGGGGGGGGGGGGGGGGGGGGGGGGGGGGGGGGGGGGGGGAGGGGGGGGGGGGGGGGGGGGGGGGGGGGGGGGGGGGGGGGGGGGGGGGGGGGGGGGGGGGGGGGGGGGGGGGGGGGGGGGGGGGGGGGGGGGGGGGGGGGGGGGGGGGGGGGGGGGGGGGGGGGGGGGGGGGGGGGGGGGGGGGGGGGGGGGGGGTGGGGGGGGGGGGGGGGGGGGGGGGGGGGGGGGGGGGGGGGGGGGGGGGGGGGGGGGGGGGGGGGGGGGGGGGGGGGGGGGGGGGGGGGGGGGGGGGGGGGGGGGGGGGGGGGGGGGGGGGGGGGGGGGGGGGGGGGGGGGGGGGGGGGGGGGGGGGGGGGGGGGGGGGGGGGGGGGGGGGGGGGGGGGGGGGGGGGGGGGGGGGGGGGGGGGGGGGGGGGGGGGGGGGGGGGGGGGGGGGGGGGGGGGGGTGGGGGGGGG